TAGCTATAAAATTCCCACTGAAAATTGTTAGTTTCTGTAAGGTAAACGAAATTCAATTTAGAATCCGCAAACATGGCTCATATTTTGTTCCGAGAATTGCATATTTAGACTATAACATAAGTGTTTTATGCCTTGAGTACCTAATATTTTTATAAATAAATAATTTTCCATATATGTGTTAGATTTTAACAATTTTCTAGAGTTTTAAGTTAATTTTTATCTGATACCATTTCCCAAGAAACACAACCAAAAAAAAAAAAAGCAAAAAGAAAATTTTTTAAAATTTTTTATTCTTTTTTATTTTTTTTTTAATATGCGCCTAACACTATGCACATACAATTGTACGTTAATACGGATGTGTGTATTTGTATGACTATGAATCAAAAAAAAAAATATTCGCGTATTATAGTTTTTTTTTTGTTGTTCTTCTTGTTTTTTCCCGTGTTGTATACTTTCTTCTTATTTTTTTACTAGTATTATTACTGATGCGCATTAAAAACTCTGAATGAAAATTGTTTCTTATGCTGCTTTTCTATTTTTCTTCTTTTTATTTGTTATACACTATTACATACACAAACAAGAAAAATCTACTCGTATAGTGGCGTTTTTTTTTCCTATAGGTAAACATCGAAAAATTTTCTTCATTTTTTTTTTTATTTTTCTTATTCTGTGTACCCATATATAATGTATGTGCATATATATATGAATAATGTAAAAGTGCATATAATATAAAACAAAACCAAGAATATTTTATAGATATTTTATAGGCGCATATTATTACAAATTTATCTTCAACTTAAAAAAAAACAATAATACAATATGGTACATAATTATATTGTACACAAGAGTAGTATATAAGCCCATATATGTAGAATGTTGGTATATAAGAGATGTATAGATATAATTATAATAAAATGTGAGCATGGATGTTAATGCATAAAATATAAGTAGTGTAGAATAGAAATTACAACATAAAACGGTAAAAACGCTTTATATACATACATATGTATATACATAGGAATATATTAATATATTTGTTAGATAAAAAAAAAAAAAAAGTTATACGTGAATGAATGTATAAGTGATAATGCAACATAAAAAAAACATAATGCAACAGCACTATATTTAAAAGTTATACAAAATAGAAAAACAATGGGAGAATATTGAGAAAATAGGTATGAGAGATGGAAGTAGGGAAAATTTTTACCTTATAGTAGGTAAGGTAGATTTAATATTTATGTATGCATGTATAATATGTGAAAGTTAAAAAAATATTATGCATTCATTGAGTATAAAAACATTTTAAGTAAAGTTTTTTTTTTCAAATTTTCGAATATTATTATACGATAATAAAGTTATAAAAGGCATATGTTGACCATTCTCTAATTAAGGTGAATAATCCGAAGAACAGTACTGTTTACGAAAGTATAAAATCAAAAAATTAAATATTTGTTTACTAAACTAAACTGCACGGCATTCTATAATAGTTTGCCGAGAATTCCAGCTTTAAAGTTAAATCTCCTAAAGGGTGAAATCTTTTGTACCAATGAAATGCAAAGCTTTAATAGTAAAACGTAAGCGTATCATACATATAAACACACTTATATGGAAATGTCGTCCAAAAAGGAAGTAATTGCGTACTGCGATATCAGTATAATTGTCGTCTGGTACACGGTCGGCGGTGAGGGCTTTGCTACTACCTGTCAATGAACAGGGAAGATTTCAGTATTGCGTTTGGTTTATTGGGAAAGATGGCCATTTGCTGCATTTCCTTATCGGGTATTTGAGCTAGTCCTGGGTGGCAACATTTAATTATAATAAAAGTTAAAATGTTTGTGTCTACATATATGCAGTTCTGTAGGTATTTTATGTGCTTGTGTATGAATTTTCCACAAATATCAAAAATAAAACAAAGTTTAAAGTACAACGAATGAACCAACAAATCAACGACCCAAACCAAAAACCGAAAAACAACATGAAAATTTTCCGACCAAACCAACCCATATAAAATTTCTTTTTTTTTGTTTTTCTTAAAGTTTTTCTTCTCAGTATTTTTCTTTTATTTTTCTTAATTATTTCTGTTTTTTTTTTTCTACATTTTTTTTGTTGTTGTTGTTTTTTTTGTTTGTTGTTATTGTTTCCTCCTTTTAGATGTTGTTGTGCATGTAGTACGCGATAATCTAACATGAAATTCTATTTTATTCTTTTTCTTCTTCTTGTTGTTATTTTTAAAATTTTTCCTTTAAAAGGTAAGCTATGCTTTTCATTTTTATATGTATGTATGCATTATTAAAACGATGTGTAGTGTACACATACCTACTATGTGTATAATTACACATTTATAATAAATTTTCCATTTATAAGCATACATAGGTGCATGTATGGATGGCCGGGACGGGAATAAAAATAAAAGAAAATTATAGAAAAAAAAAAAGAAAAACTTTCAACGTTTTATGAAAGCGATGATATGAAAATAGGCGACGTATAAATTTTGTTTGTATATTTTTGGTTGGTTTGGTTGAAAACAGAATTTTCAAAATAAGTTTGTGTTTTTGTTGTCGCTTTTCTTTTCACTGCGTTTTTCAAAATTTTTCATTCATAAATTTAGAATTTTTTCGAATTTATGTAGTATAGATTCTCAATTTTGTTAGTATTATGTTTATATAGTAAGAAATAGAATAATGACACCAAGTAGGTTCTGCATCTAAGTGATAGCGGCATCCCTTTGATTTATCAAAAAAAAAAAATTATCGGTATATTTGAAATGTACAAGTACAATGGCGAAATCGTCGAACGGCAACCGGCACATTCGAATTTTCAATAACAAACGTATGCGGCTTTGGAACTAAACTGTGAAATTTTGTACCAAATATTGCATAAAATTTCACTACACTTAAGGATAGACTTGAATGTATGTTGCACTCGATCGTTACGAAAACTTTAGTTCATAAGTTTGAGATTCGAATTTAAGAAAGGCGTTATTGGACCTAAAAAGCAATTAATTTTTTAAAAATATTTTTATTATTATTTTTGCATTTCATACAAAATGTCTATTTCACATTGATGAAAATAGATGGCATTGAATTGAAGTGCGATTCAATCTTGGTAAACTGAAACGACAAAAACAGAATTTTCAAAAACCGCACTTCGCAGTAACTGTAGAGTAAAAGGCAGTATTGTAATAATGAATTCGATGTTGTCAAATGCCAATATCCCATATATCACTTGCCATATTTGTCGCCAATTCAGTAACGACTAAATATAGTTATACGAGAATTGTCTTTTATTTTATTTTTAGACTGTTTCGATAAAACGAAGAATTCGCTCACAAAAATATAAAATTAATTTGTGGTAATTCTCAAATGGTGGTTCTATAATTTTATTCCTGCTCATTAATGCAATATTGTATGCATATAATAATTAAAAATAATAACAATATTAACAATAATTAATAAAATTTTTGTTTAAAAATACCCAAAATCCCTTTAAACCAATTCTGTTTGCATACGTAAAATAAATAAAATTTAATTTATTTAATACTGATTTTTCTCATAAATTCATTTATGATGCGGTAACATTTTTGTTTTTATTTATTCAAATTTGCAATAACAATATGGAAACGTGCATACCTTCCGATTTTAAGAACTTTCTCTCCATTATTTGCAGTTATAGCAATAAATCAATTACATTTTACATATATAACATTTATACGCATTGTATTAACGTGTATAATATGTAAGTATATGCACAGTATAATTTTTTAAAAACATATTTTTAAATTACAAAATGGTAAATATAGAAAAACAGTTAATCTTATTGATATTTTTAAATATGGATGTGAATATTACCATTCGTTTAATGATAATATAGTAATAACAGTAATAATAGCAAGTTTAGTATTATAGAATCCCTTATTACAATATAACAGTAAATCTCATTATCCCCTATATCTATATATTTGAAGGGAACAGCGGCTATATTCGATAAAATTATTGCAAAAAATGTAAGCACAGATAATAATGAATGTAATTGTAGTATAAATGTAATGAATGTAGATGGCAGTTATATGAGGCATTATAGTCTTATTGTGCATGAGAGAAAACAATTGTTATACTAGAGGAATTAACGAGTGATTTATGATTTTTAATTTTATTAAATTTAATATTATTTCGTGTGACTGTGCGTAAGTATTAAATGTATTTAAAATGTAAATAAAATACAGAATTAATCTGAAAAATTTCTCTATTTAACATTCTTTTTCTGTATACTATTAAATTAATAAATTTTAAATATTTGTAGAATAGAATTTTTTGAGAAAATTTATTGTTTTTCATATTATTTGAGTTTAAAAAAGGAAATTTTTAGTATTATTTTCTATAATATTATTCGATTGTTTTGTATAATAAATAACATGCACACACACGCAAGAATATTAAGAACTTTTCGTATTTAATTTTAATTAAAAAGAGAAAAAAACAAAAAGATGAGGGTACTTTTTCATTTTTTTCCATTTATTGTTATTAAATTTTATTGTATTTTAATAGAAAGTTCCTTTAAATTTTGTAAGCATTGTAAGATCTACAGTTTTTTTTTTCTGCATTAGTATTGATTTATGAATTTAAAATCGAAAATTGTATATTTGAATAATATATTTTGTAATATTACTGAAAATGGTGAATTTAATGATCATAATGTTGATTTATTGGATTTCATTTTGTATAATAAATAATTTTTTAAAATTATGGCAGAATATTTGAGGTTATGTTTAGTTGAGATTAAAGTTAATATTAAAAATTCAATAAAATGTAAATGAAAATATTAAATTTCTACATTTTAAAATTTTTTATAGATTTAATTAATTACAAACGACAGCTGCAACAACACAGAAAGTTTGAATGCATCAACACATGAAAATTTGTAAAAAAGAAAGAGAAAAATTTGTAATCAAATTATGGAGCGAATTGTACGAAAATTGTAGAGAGTTTTGAGAGCGAATATTAATTTAAATGAATTCTGATTGGTGACTTCTTTTTTTTTGTTGAGAAAAATGATGCTGTAACGCAGAATTGTTATACATGAAACACATAACTGCAAGAATTTTGTGGACCTATAAGGTAAATTAGAAATATTTTAAAGTAACTTTTCTAAATTGAATTTAATAATTTCTTATTTTATAAAAATATTTGAAGCCATTTTCTATTTCACCTTGATCATTTGAAATTGAATACAAAATTTCAATATAAGAAAAATTTCACTTACCTTACTTAAATCTCTGCATAATATAGGCTTTGCAAATAAGTAAATCCAATTTTGAATTACAGAATACTCGCAATATTCTTTTTTTAATAAAAGAATTTGGAGTACAAAGTATAATTATTAAAACTTAAAGTTACACGTTCTTTTAAAATACTTTGTAAATACTACAAGTAAAAGGAGTCGGGAATTTACATACAAGTATGTATCGTTAAAAAATATGCAGTTATACTTAAAAAAATGTTATTTGTGTTATTAATAAATATTTGTTAGCCATTAAAATAATTTATTAATAAAAATTATGGACCAAAAATTTTTTGGGAAATTATGAAGTTTAGAACAAATAATAAAGAAAATTATTTGTTCTAAAAAATGAATTTTCTACATTTTTTCTACAAATTTTAGGCTGTAATATAATTAAATAATTATATTATGTAATAAAAAAATTAAATTTAAAATTAAAATTTATAATTTTTAGCCTTTTACTTGTAAGAATTCGTTCGTTACTAACCAAATAATTTGAATTTAATTTTCATGAATTAAAAAAATCAATTTTGATGTTGTCATATTGATTACACATAACGGTTAAAATAATGTAAATTTTACAAAAATTTTTGTATTGTGGTTTAATAAAAACTGTATGAAAATTTATAGATTTTCACTGTTAAGATGGTTAAACCTGTGAATCATTTTCTAATATTTTGTATTGTAATATTATGTAATATTCTTATGTCAAATTCAATTATAAAAATTCTTGGCTCTTTGTTAACAAAGAGCTCTATCATTTACTACAGAAATGATATATTTAAGGTTATTTGAGAGTCTCAAACTTAAAACTAAACTGAATTCCTATATATTATAGCTTGAAAACGTCAAAGATGACATTTATAGAAGTTAACGAAAACCATTTGAAATTTTCGATTTTTAAAATGGTTTTCCGTAACTTCTTGATTTTAATTTTGACAATTCGTGAATGTCTGGTTCGCAACATTCTACCTGAATGCAGGCTAATTTAAGTAGCTCAAAACTGCGTAAACGTATGTATGTATATGAATGACATTTGAATGTTAAACACACCGATATCATCAATTTGCCATTTTTTATATTAACAATTTCAAGTTTTTTCAATTCAAAATACACGAAAATTTTGATATCAACTGGGCACAAGATGCACACTATAAATGGAATTAATAAGTTTGAAAGTATCTGTTAAATTTTACTGTATTCCAAAGAATCATTTAAAAATATTTTTACTTTACTTTACTTCTATAAATAGTAAAGAAGCCTACCTAAAGCCTTTATTAGGGGGAATGAGAAGGTAACAAGAAAAGTTAAAACACTTCCGAGTTTTCACAAAAGATTTTTTTCTTTTCTGTTCTTACTTTTTATTTTCTTGTTCCTCCAATTTTTGTGTTTTTATTGAATGAATTAAAAAAAGAAAGAGGCAAAAAAAAGGAGAAAACTTGCAATAGAAGAGTAAGAATACCGTCTCGTTAGAGAAAAACACTTAAATGTTATTTTTATATTGATATAAAAATCTTAAAACTAAGCGTTATAGAAAAAGAAGAAGAATTTGTCCAAGAAAATCATTAGAAGCAAACCATAGAAAGCAACAAAAACAAATTTCTTTATATAAAAAACAATATCGCTTTATTTTCCACTAATTTCTTAAAGCCCATCCCACCCACCTTTCCCTCCTTTCTCATTCCTTAAACTCAACGTTCTTTCGTGTTTTCTACTAGTTTTCGTTTTTTTTATTTTCCCATTATTTTCTCTGGAATGAGGTAAAGCGGAACACATTATGTATTCTTTTATTTTTTCAAAAATTTTCTTATGGTTGGGTTGTTATGCATGCATCTGGTTGTTGTTATCCCCCCTGAAATCTTTAAAAAAAAATTTTATATATGATGTGAAAATCAACAACAACAAAAAAAAAACAGCAGAATAAGTGAAAAGTAAAGAAAATAAGAAAATTTATTGCGTTTACTTTTTGTACAAATTTACACACACATACAAATATGCTGATTATATAGTAGAGTACGGTTATGCACATGACAATTTGACCATAAATCGAATATTCTAGGTACTTTTTTTTTAGAATATAAATTTCATTTTTAGTCTATTATTATTATACGAGTGATTTTAAATTTGATATCTAAAATTTAGACAAAAATTGTGCCCCGAAAACTTTTAAAAATATTTTATCAGATCATATAAAGTATAAATATAGAGTTCTGATCGCATAAACGAAATAATATGGTGTGTGTACGGTTCAGGAATTTTCAGGAAGAAAAAAATTCTAGCAATCGATTTCTTAATAGAAGGTATTAAAATTATAGATCAAAATATTCTATTTTTTAAAGAGTATCCAAAAAAATTAAAAAAAACATTTGCTCACGGATTTTAACTTAGTTTTGTCTGTGTTAAAGTGTTTATAAAATTTTTGCGCTCTCTAGCTTGTTATCACTATGAGAAATTTAGTTTCTTATGAAGAAAATTTTTATTTACTTACATATCTCATGTTTCTAAAAGTTTCAGCTCTCAAAATCCAAAAGATGATTATTAAGTCTTACAGTTTTTGACAACAACTAATGTCAAAATCGTAAAAAACAAATTACGTCAACATAAAGAGATATTGTAAACGGCAGGACGCTGTGAATCAAATTTCTCAATAATTGTGGAATGTTGATCCACACGAGAATGGGAATCCACACGAACGTTAGAGATGTGGGTCTCAAGAAAGTACTCAAGGCGACACTTTGAGCATTTAGGGAGAACATTATAGATCTTTTAGTTGTGGTACATTACCAAAGCATAATGTTCAATCTACAATCGTCAGTGACTTAACAATTTTTAAATCAATTTTTCATCAAATTTTGTTGACTCGGCAACACTTCTTACGAATATTTTGACATTTTAATTTTTACTGTACAAATTTCAAATATTAACCATTTTTGAATTTTTAATTATCGTCTTGTGGTTTAGCAATATTTCATTAAAATAAAAAAGTATAAAAAAAAAGTAATATTATGACGTTCAAATGTGTTTTGTATTGTTGTGGTTTGCGAACTTGTTTTTTGGAGCGTCACAGATTTACATATATTACATATACATATGTAGACTTTCCATATGAATTTATAAAAATAATTCTATTACCTGAGTGCATTATACTCTGTTAGAATAATAATTAATTTATTCTATTAACCCTTTACAGCTTTTGTTATTTTATAATTTTTTTTAATATAATGTCCAGAAAATTTATAAATATATTGTTGATTCCAAACGAGACATTCTTGTTAACTATAATACAAAATGTTGAGACTCACTTAAAGTCGATATACAAGTAACTAAATAAATTTTGAATTAAATGCCTTTATAACAGTCTTACTTATAAGGCAAATCAGTAAGATAAAATGTATACTTTAATTAAAATGTAAATATTTTTGGAAATTCAGAAAATTTGAGGCGGAAGCATACATTTAAAATGTGTAGGGAAATTTCTTTGAGGTGAATATACGTGTTGTTACATGATAGAGGATTAGGAACACTGTGTCATTTAAGAGCACGTGACTTTTAAATATCCAACAAAATTATTATTGAATTCTCATAGATTTTTAATTCGAATCTTATTATTTTCAAGTATAACTATATTTATTAACTATTTTCTCAAAAAAAAAATTATTTATTTTGCCCTTTTTTTTATGTCTCAATATATATATACATATAACTTTAGTTCCGCGTTCATTATATCTTTTATTATTACATGTTCTTAAGGGGTCACACTTTAATGAAATTCGTATACTATGTATATGTAGAAAACTTAAGACTTTATGAGATTTGATAAAAGGAAAAACCTAAAACTGAAAAAGAGGGTCTTCTACTACTTTTTTTTTCTTGTCTTATTATTTGTAATTATTATTGTTACTCTTGTATATTCTAACTCATATAAGAGAGTTGCGTTATACTTTATTCAATCAAGAAAAGGGTGAAAAATTATATTATGAGTAGGTATAGAGAATAAGTAGTAGATGAAAAGAAAATAAAAGTAACATTAAAAAATATTAAAGAAAAAAAAATTTTTTTTTTTTATTTTAAAACAATAAGCAAAAATTACTATGCCACTACCATGGTAAATAAAAACGGATCCCAAGTCTTTATAAATTTCAATACATTGTGTAAACGCTTTATATTTCATGGAACAGAAAAAAGCATTCAAAAGCCACTTTTAAAAATTAAATTATACATTGTTTGTGTAGATATGTACATATATATTTATGTATGTATGTAAGTATAATACTTTAATTTTATTTTTATGTTACTTATTAAATGTGTTAATTCAATTATTTTTTATATAGAACGGAAAAAGAGCGGAACAATACATTGTTCACCATCAACAAATTAATATGATTTTTTTTTTGATTTTTTAGGTTCCTTCAACATGTTGAGCATAATATAATGAAATGAGCATATATCTACATATATACATATACACATACATACATAATTGCTGGAAATAAGACGAAAATAATCGAATAGTTTTAAAATTTTTAATTTTTTCCAATTCGTTCAATACTATAAAATTAAATAACCTAATTTAAGTTTATGATATACTTTTTAGTATTTATTTCATTATACTTTGAATTTTGCTTTATGTATATCGTATATCTTTCATTAAAATTCGTTGGATTTCGTATGACAAAACCACGTATCCGCGTTTTCGCTATATTTGAGTTAAATACGCATAGTATATAATAAAATTGTTATTTGACATCTCTTCATAGTAACTGTATTTCTTGCGCTCAATCCGACATTGAGTCTTGCACTTACTGCGAAATTAAGTTTTTTATGAATTTATAAAAATGAATAAATTATTAAAATCTATTTTACTTTCGTAACGTTCTTTTTTTAAAATCCGTATGGTTTCGGCTAGACCTGAAATAGTATTGCAATGTATTTGCGTATTTGTAAAATATCAGAGACTATATACGGTAAATAATATTGTACTAAGTAGAAATATTGCTCTAAGCTAAAACCCAATTCCTTTCAATTCATATTTTATGATTAAAAATTGAATACAATTTAAAAATGCAAGAAGACGATACAAAAGAAAATGCCGAAGAAAATGCATGTATGCGCAATAATTTTTTTGATTAAAAATTTTTATATTGATTAAGTATAGACATACACACAAATTAGCTCTATATTGGAAATTTTATACGCCATCTCATAAATTTTTATTATTCTATTAGTGATTAATATTTTTAAGAGATTTAGATGTGGAAAATTTTTTCAGTAATCAGAATTTTCTTCAATTATTATTATTGTTTAGAAGTTTTTAAAGTAAGATATACCCGAAGACATACACCAGGAAGTTTGACTTGAGCTTCCTAACACTGAGAAAACCCCACCAAACCATCTGTCTTTCTTGACGACCAGAGCAGGAAAATGTACACTGAATATTTATGGCCGTTTCTTCATCGCGCCGGCAAAATCTATACAAAAGGGAGTTCAATTTGGCTAGCTTATGCAAGTGAAATTTCACCGGACAATGTGCATTAAAAAAAAAACCAGTAACGAAACGAACCCGATTTAGATCCATCCCAAGCAGTTCTGAAGGGAATTTCCTTGAGTAAGATGGAAAGAACAGCTTCGCATAATGACATCCCTCAGTAACCTTTCAGCGAAGATTCGATTCAGAAGAAGACGGGCTGAGCAAAAAAGATGTCAGACCTCCTTCGCACAAATTCGTCAGCCGATCTCATCACTCCTGTGCCCACAGTGGTCCGGCACTCGAATGAGCAATACTCTGGCGTAGAAAACTATGTGGAAATATTATTTCTCTTTGACAAAATTTTTGTGTATCCATAAAAATTTTAATCCCAAATGAAATTGGGAATTCGACAAGAACGGAAAGGTGAAATTCCAGTTGATGTTATTAAAATTATACGTTGAGTGCGTTAGAAATTCTAGAATAGAAAAGATGTTGTATATCAAGAGTTCCATTTTTGTGCCTTTTAGACTAAATAATGTTTGAACAGACTTTTACAATTTAAATTATAATTGTCACAGTTTCACTGTTTCTTCACCTTCCCCCGTTTATCCAAATTAATTCTATTTTGAATTTAATTCAACTTAATACATTAGAAACTTCTTATTTTGCTCAATCCTAACCTAAATTTTACAATACAATTCGTATATTTACATATTGGGAAGATAAAGATCAGCGACAACCAATTCAAATCTTTTCATCATTACAATTGAAACCAAAATACTATGTTTATACTTTTTTTTCTAATGGTGGTGCAATTTTTTGCTCTTTTCTTTCATCTTTTTTAGGTTATGTTTTTATTTGTATATGAAATTAAATGCGCATATATTAAAAATATTTTTATGATAATTACGACATTTCATATTCAATGTGGTATTCACAAAATTTTATATTAAATTTTGGTTTCTTAGTTTTTCTTTAAAATAAAATTATAATTTTTTTTATACTCCAGTTTTTCCCTACATATATGTTGAGTACGTTTTATGGGTCTATTATTAGCAATACCTTTTATATTAATATGCAGATATTTTTACATTTTGTGGGATACAATCGCCGCATATAATTATAAATTAAATTTATTCAAATGGAATTGATGGACTTAGTGTGTTCAGAGAACTGTGAATTAATGCATATGTAAGTAGCTATGTAATTATTTCAAACATATACAATTTGTGTATGTGTTAATTGATACCTTTTACCTTTCTTTATACTTCTCTAATTTCTATTTTTTTTTTTTTGTTTTAGGTACAGTAACAGAAGTAAACATTTGGGGTGCCTACCATTTTATTATATTCCAAATATATTTTTAATTCAGAAGTCTTTCGTTAGTGGCAGTCACAAATGTGTCAATGAGAAATTTTTGGAAATTTTATGGTATGAGAACCAAAATGTAATGATGAGAATGAATTAAACAAAGCATTTTATTATCTATAACTTTAATGTTACATACACATTCTTAAGAAGCTATACGGAAGCTGCCGTTAATTTTCTACGTAGAAATACTATATTGATTCTAGGGTTATTTCCGTAATTGCATAATGTCGGCTGAATTATTCAGAAATGTTGGTCTATTAATTATTAATATCCACATTACTAAGCTACTATAGGTATATAAAATTTTAGTACCTACTTCAGTTTTAGTCGTATTACTAAGCTATTTTCGAATTTTTATTCCGAATTGTAGGTGTTTATTAGCATTACAAACGGGCTATGGAGGTAAATCTTAATTAAACTTCTATTGCAGGAATAAATATTGAGACATTCTGTCATTTATTGAGATATTTTACATTTTAAATATGTAAGTAACTTTATATAATAACACATATTAGCTTCAGCTTTTGTTAAGCAGATCTGTGCCGCTCGATACTTTATGAAGCAACACTGTTCTTACCACTTATCATATGATATAATTTTCCATCAGAAATTTTCCATTTAACTTAAATATATATAGAATGAAATATTGCGCTTTTATTACACAATGTTGCGCTTACGATTAAAAGCATAATTGGAAAAATGGAAAAATGAGAAAAAGTCGCAATATTATTTTCTTTCTCTTCTCTTCTTCATTACCTAATTCACGTACTTACTCAGTTTAACCTCATTTAAAGAAGAAAAAAAAAGTTGTTATATTTTTATTTTTTATAGTTATTGCACATATTGGTCCGCCGCGCTTATAGAAAATATCGCGTATTTTATCCATAAGCATACAACAGATATTTTCAAGATATTTTCAATTTTCTTAAAAGAAAACTTGCTTACTTTCATCGAACGAACTTATAGGTTTGTGTTATAGGTAATTTTATATACACATACTTTGAAATAACTTACAGGTTTAGAAATTACAAATGAATAAATTTTATATTGAAAGTTTTGCAAACACGATGCCCTCATTTTTTTTTTCTATATACCCGCGTCTATACAGTGACATTTCTTTTTTTTTATAATGATAACGGTAAAAAGAGTTTTCTTTCTTATTTTAAATGTGTTGGTTTGCTTTCTAATTGTAAATTTTTTTTTATTTCTTTCTCTCTTGTTTAGTAAATAAATGGTATTTCAATTGTAAAATTTAAAAATAAAGAAAATGCATTCAATTGCTCAAAAGACAATAAAATTATAAAAGTTTAAAAAAGGTATATAACGCGGTATAAGTCAAAAGAAATCAAAGAAAATATGAAAATCTAAGTACGTAGGGCTTAAACATTTAAACAGTTGAAGGTTTTTTTAAGATTTTTAAGATTTAAATTGAAATTTGTAATACGCAAATGTACCTACCATGAGTCCCCAGATGAAAAATCAAAAAGTCATTTTTTCCAAAGTGAACATTTTAAGTAGTTGAGCAAAATTTGTGTGATCAAAATCCCTTAAAAACTTAAATGAAAATTATAAGAAAGGCATTTCTAAGATAATATAATTAAAATTATATATTTATACCTGTCTATTAATGGCAGAACATTTTTGCGGATGAACTGAACAATAAGTGAAAATTAAAAATTTATATATTGTTCCTTTGCAGCAACACTGGTAGAACTCTGGTAGAACTTAAAGATGACACATTTAAAAATTGCGAAAGGCATCGAAAACATAATTTTTCTTTGATTTAGAAATGAATTGAATTAGATCTCATTCGAATTGTTGCAAACAAGTTTCATAGACGCTTAAGCTGATTTAAAATTCTATTTAAATTAAACAATATTCAATATGTAGAAGTGCCCCCCCTCTTTACTATTCTCGATAAAATATTATAAACCAATTTTTTTTTATTTGTTTATAGGAAACCGTCAGGTCATTGCCTTAGGGTTACACACTCTCTCGTACTTTATCAACAATATACAATATAAGGAGTGCAAAAGAGTAGTGCTGCACATTCCGATAGATGGCTTCATATTTTTCTATGAGAAATAATCGTCGCACTTTCAATATTTAAATTTAAAGGTAAACTTTTACTTCTTTATGTATTTTAAGAGAGTTTTTACCCAAAATAACATTCTATTTCCAAACTATATACTCCTAGGTCCTGATATCTTTGAAGATACCTCTGTAGAAGGCTGTATGTCAAAAAATCTTGAAGTAAAGCGTGTGAGGTACTACTCACGAAAATTTTTTTTTTTAAATTTTCCATTTGATTTAATTCCCATGACTCACGTGATTTTATTGTTCTCTTCAAAGCATTAAGAAATTCTCTTAATTTTTTTTTCACTTTGTTCAGAATATGCGTTTCATTCCCAATAATTCAGAGTAAACGACCTGACAAAATACACAGAAAAATTATCTTCTTCAAATGTCAAAATACTTACATTTTTTTTTCTCTGTTTTCAAAAACTATTAAAGAAACATGTATGTACATGCATACGATTGAATTTGCATAAAACAGTAAAAATGTTACAACGTTTTCCTCTATATTAAAAATAAAAAAAAAGGAGAAAACAAGAATAACAAACCGCACTAATATAATTTCTAATACAAAACTTTTCTAATGAAACTATACACAGGTAACAAACACACAAAATAATGTGCGCACAACACATCTTACTCACATAAGCATGCATGCACACAGTATTTTCTAGCATTTTGCTAGTTTTTTATTAAAAGTCATGAATTTATGAATATTTAATTCTTGACAGAAAATTGAAAGAGGTAGAAAAAAAAAATGAATTAAAATCCCCAGATTTTTTGAAAGAGCAATTAAACAAAATAAAAAATTCTGTTTCTTTTTTTAAAAAAATTTGAATCGATTTAGTTAAAAAAAGAACAAAACATAACCAAGAACCGTGAAAACAGGAAGTTCAGATGATGTCAACAAAATGTGACTACAAAAGTATCAAAAAGAAAAAAAACGTGAAACCTAAAAAGAATACGTAAAAAAAAAGAGAATCGATTAAAAGAACATGAAAAATCAACGTTTAAAAAGGAAGAAGAAACGGTGAAGTCGAAGAACGGGTATAGAAGTAGAAATTGTTTTTTTTTTTTTTTAAATAATTGGGGTCAAATTTAAATTATTTTTCTTAAATTTCATTTACTCCCTTCAATTCATTATTTTATTTCCAAATATTTAGTTCTTTATTATAATTTTATAGGTCTAAGACAATCGGATCCTTTCCTGTCTTTTATTTCTAATTGTTATAGAAGAAAATTAATGCGTAGTTAACATTTGATTACTCGTATTCTAGTTCAAAATTTATAACACGGCACCTAGCGACTTTATGAGGAACCTGATATGCAATAAATAAAATTTCAATAGAAGTGTCATATAGTAAGTGTTTTCTTAAAGTAGCAAAACATTAAAAGGTTGAAAATATTATTTAAATTTTTTTTATAGAAATTCACAACATTCTTGGCGTGCCCAGTTTCTCTATATCAGGAAGAATCTTAAGTCGTTTATTGTCTCACAAGCTTATTTACGTTACATTTCTTCGAAATTCTCACCAACCACCTCTGTATGAAAGACATTGCAGTGATCCGGCAAAAAGAAGGAGAACACAATTTTCAATTGTTCGGAGCACTTTCCCCACGCCTGTATTAGAGAGCTACTAAAACGAAAAATGAGGAAATCTATAACCGGAGATCACAGGTATCTACAGTCCTTATTAAATAAAATTAAATTATTGATCAACTAAATTTTTCATTTATTTTAGGATAAAATTTGAACTCAAAAAATTAATTTTGTAGTGTGTAGTAAATTATTGAAGTGTTGCAAAAAAATATCGCATTGACTTGGCACTAATGATGAATGCTACCTTAGAGAATTTTATTTATTTTTCATGTTTTTTTTTTTTTTTGCTTATAGCTTTATAGTTTTCATTTCTTGATTAGGTTTTTATGTAACTAGCAATTATGATATCAAATGAACTTTCTTTCTGAAACTACATACTTTTGTAACATTGCATGAAACTAAAATTATATAAGAATAAAATTAGAGAAAAAAAAATTCTTTTGGGAATTTCTCAAGGATTCAAGTGTATCCTGTATTTGAAATAGTAGATATTTCATTTTTTTTGTTGGATTTTTTGCTTTTTAAGTCATGTGTACATTGTTATACAAATATAAATACATATAATGAGAATAGAAAAAGGATAAAATTACAGGCGACGTTAAGGATTAGATTTAGAATGTTATTATATACACACATATATACATATTTACATACATACGTTTATGCTCTAATATTACGTTATGTGAATTTGAGTTTAATTTTAAGTATACAAAAAAAAACTATATTCACATTCCAATTTGAGAATTTGAGACTTTAACAATAACATTTTTGTGGGAATGAGAAATTATAAAAATCCGAAAAATATTAAAAACTTCCTGCTTTTCTCCCTTAAATTTTTTTTCCCTTGTACACACACAAATATTATTTTTCCTATTTTATCCTTTCATTAAATTTTTTTTTTTAATTTGGATAGTTTTTCTATTTTTATAGCCTGGGGGATTTGAACATGAAAAAAAATACAAAATTAATATTTAAACATGATTGCGTTAAAGAAAGGTGTATTTGCTTTCTTAATTAGATTTATCGAGTTTGACATGAGGCTGGAATAGGAACAAACATTCATACATTCGTACAAATGTACATGTATATATATTATATAGACAAATAACAGTATTTTGTTTTTTTGTTTTTTATATTATGACGTATGGAATGTCAATTAATTTCATTTCGATTTATTAAATCTCAGTAATTCCACCCATTTTAAGACGAAAATGAGCTAAAGGGAAAATATTAAATATTGAAATTGGCAAAAATACGAAATTGGAATGGTTGTAACGAAAAAAAATTTAGTAAAAATTTCAACAAAATTGAAATTACCTTTAAAATTTTCACAAAATTACGCATAGTATAGATTAATGTAGAAACATACTCTGTATGTTAGAATTTTTAGGGAAATTACCAATAAATTTTGAATTGAATTTTCGCTCATAATTCATACATAAACGTATATTAAGTTAAATATGACTAATTTTAAAACTGATAGACTAAAGTCTACCTACGCGTCATAACGCCACGAAACGTTATACTCGTAATTATATCTACGAGAGTATGCGATAAGAAAAATTCGTGTGGCACAAAAATTATCGTTTTTTGTTTTAAATTTATTTACAAAAACAAAAAAATTTATGAAGTTTAAAAATTATAAGAGGGAAATATTTTTTCCTTATCAATGCTAATATTGGTGTGCATAACTATAGTTCAATTACTTTAAATCCGGTAAAATTATTTTTGGAGATTTTAAATTATTTATTAATCTATTAGAGGTAAAATTATTTATTAATTTAAGAAATATTTTGACAATTTGTTTGTAGTTCTTTATGATGTGAAAAAGAGAATGAAAAATTTTGCCAAAATATTCCGGATATTCCTGAAAAGAAGAAGTGAAAGAAGTTCTTCCTGAAAGGAAAAAGTTTTAGGAAAAAAAAGAAGAAGCGGCAAAATTTATTAAAAGAAGTAGGAATTCGTCTCGCAGTATATTTTCCTCGCTGTGCACTAAAAATTTGTAAACGTTTAAATTTGTAAAAATTAAAAAACGTTTTTTTATAAATTTCCTTGAGAATTTCGAAAAAATCTCTTATATGCCACCATACATTTTTTAATACTTGCGTCTTTCACAATTTAATTTTATTTCCTAAAAAAAAATTAATCAATATCCTGCCTCTTTAATGAAAATTTCCTTTAAAATAAAAATTAATTTTTTATAGTTGCATACGTCAAAATATTTTGTCACATACAAAATTCTATAGCGATAAAATCCATCTTCGCTTCATCAAATCTCTTTAATGAATTTAATATTTAAAGAAAAAAAATAAAATGACACGCGCATATGACATTCTCATTATTTGCCATATATGCACACACATAAGAACACACAATAATATATGTACACCTTTAATATACACTTTAAATCAAAAAATAAAATGAAAAACAAAAAACAGGAAAGAAATTTGACTGCAATATGAATTCATTTACTACCTTACTATACGTACATAAGTTGTAGGGTACAAGGTACCAATGTTATTTTCGTGGTACAATACAAGCACCACCAACATGTAAGTAGGTACATAATATAAAAAACTGGGATCAACAATGAAAAAATTTTACTTTTTTTTTTCTTATCCTTCCTTTATTATCCCTTTTTCGTTTTTATGTTTTTTGTCGTTTTCTACAGCTTATTTACTATAATTCTTCATGTTACGCAAATTGCAATCTCATCGCACATACTTGCATATACAATCATTTATGTTTGTAAAAAAAAAAATATTTTTTTTTTCGTTGTGAATTTTGAAATGAGGAAAACAAAAAAAAATTTATAGAGAAAAAGGATGCGTGATGTTTACTAAATCATCGAGGACAACAATTACATATCAGCAAAACATAATTACAGTACGAAATAGGGAACACGAATAATTTTATTTTGAAAATTTAAAAAGAAAAAATGATCCAAGTCAATTAAACTGTCGGTCCGTTTCTGAATTTTCATTCTTATATAAGAAACAAAACTGTGTGACTCCTCCCATTTATTGTAAGAGTCTACCAGTAAATAGAGATTCTGTGTATTAAAGAGAGTCTACAGATAGGAAGAGTTATTTTTTTGACATATTTAAATTTGACATTAATTCAATATTAAATTTGACATATTAAAATTTGAGATTGATTGAAATTGAAATTAATAAAAATGATAGCAAGTACACTCTTACAAATAGATTTCCTATTAAAATTTGTAATAATTATTTTTAACATTTAAAATCAACTACATACATCTAATCATATATGTACATCTTCTTGTAAACTAGATATACACATGAAAATTAAGAGTAGATGTTATAACAGAGCTTATACGAATTGTTTTTACTAGCAAAACATTATTAAGTGCACAAGAGGGAGACACTTTTTCACTACCTTGTCTGGCTATAGGCGAGGCTCCATTGGTCACGTGAGGTCGGGCAAGTGTGACGTGGCTTGACGACGTGTCTAAAATTGCAATCGGGGATCTAATGAGATTCCTCAAAATAGTGATTTAGATAGGCATCATGCAATCCTGCATTTGATGGCGACCTGCATTTGAATCGGATACGGCTAACCTGCTGGGGCCACATCAATCAACCAACAATTTTGAAGTCAAAGAAAAATTAACTTAAAAGCACTAATTGCCGACTGCAGTTTGAACTTTATCTGATTTTACACAGAATAAGTATTACTTGTACGTGTATGTACGTGTATGTGCATGTATATGCAAATAATTTATTTTAATTGTTGCGTTACTAAAATTTTATATAATACTCCTATAATTGCCAGAGGAATATTAACAAATTTTTTTATTAGAAAAACATAACTGTGAACACATGCAATAAAAAATTTTCTTTTCATATTACAAAAAAAAAACTCATAATAATATAAACAAAATATAGGGTTCTCTTGGTTCTATATATAATATAAAATCACGCTACAGTTAATCTTAACTTAAGAGCCCGGAACATTTGAAGTATCTTACATTTATCTACACATATATTAGCACATACACTGTAAATACACATTTTTTCACATAAAATAAAATAAATTGAACTGATTTCAGTTTTGATGTTATACAAGGATCCTACACTAATATACAAACTACATTATGTAAGTTATGAACTCGTACACATATACTCGGGCATAAAACATAAAATCTTCTTTATTGCTATATGGGGAGAAAATAGGGATTTGATTTTTATAAAATTCATACATTTAATTTTAAAAGATTTAACGATTTTCATTTTTCCACAATAATAATGAAAACAATAATGAACGCACACAAAATGAACCCATTCTTGTTATAAAACAATTATATTCATTGTTATTTATATAAAAAAAAAATGAATATAAAGTCAACAGGAAGAAAAAGGATAATCTTAATAAAAATGAGGACTTTTTTTTGTTAAGTAGAAGAAATTTTCAATTACAACACCATGTACTTACAAATTTAATGCAAATGCACCTTGTACGTATAACAAAAAATATAAACGCAAAAAATAATTAAACAATATATGTAAATTTTGACAGCTATTTTTAAAATATTTAAAACAAAAAAATAAAATTAAAAATTTTAAAATTTTCTTTATTTTCTATTTTATTTCAGGGGAAATTTTTGGTGAAACACGTTCTTGGAAGATTCTACAACAATATTTGTCCAATAGTTAGTCAGCGAAGTGGTGTCTCATGATCATTCCACACGACACCCAAGCACTAGGCCAAAAACGAGGTCAATCAGTAATTTTCGAAATCGATAACTCTCCCTACAATGGAAAAAGAGCCCACCACCAGATCGCAGTTGTCCAAGAAATAGATCGTCACTTAATATGAAAACACATAAATTGGACCACATACTTACAAATATTATTAAATTTTCCAATTCAAGAAAGAGCCTGCCCCAGTATAAATAAATTCACATATATGTCCTCCTAATGTATGAAAGTATAGCATTAAAAAAAAAATTCGTAGGAAAATTTGAACAAGCTTGGCATATAACGATTTGGAAAGTGTTGTCTGTTTTAATGCTCTAAATTTATAAAGCTCGTACATTGATCTCCGTCCCGAATGTATAATCAAGGACCAGCTATGGAAAGTATTTAAATCATCCGATATGAATCTTAAAATGTATTAGAAATTATGTTCGACCCCACATTTACAAAATTATTATGAATATATCAGCTCATCTAAAGTAGTCGCAGGACTGGTTAACTGACTCAAATATATAAGCCAATCTATCCAGGTTTCATTAATTGTAATGTTGTAAATTTGTGCACGAGAAACAGTTAAAATTATCCACAGTGAGATACATTATACAGAGCCTAGACCCCAGTTTTTTTTGATTTATCACTAGAAAATTCATTTCTCACAATTTAATTAAAAAAAATTAATTTTTCTGTTTTTTTTTTTTAGGGATTTCAAAATTTTCTACCTATTTTATTCCTAAGATATTCTAAGTATATCATTAATGAAACAACAACCAATTTAATAATAATTTTAAAAAAATAAGTAGAAATTAAAAAAAAAATAAAAATATTTGGTTCCCATCAAGTAGCCTAGTACTTGAAACGTTTAATCATTCACTCGTATGAATCCTTGAAAAAAAAAAAAAATTTCATTTTATTCTTTTTATGTTTTCTCAGAAATAGATCCAACATACGTGAATATTAACCCTCTTATTAACCTTTAAATTTCATTCACATCTTATTTTCTTACAATTTCAGGAACAAAAAAATAGAATATGAAATTGATGAATGATAATAATCAAGTGAAAAAGGATACTTTGACTTTTGTGTAAAGAATGTAAAGACAAAAATACATTTATGAAATAAGGACGCGTCAATATAAAATTAAGAAGAAGAAGTAAAAGAAAACGGAAAGCAAAAATCGAAGACCCTTTGCAATATTTTAACGAACATATTAAAATAATAAAAGTGACCAGCCGTATACGACTTACATATTTTTTATTTTTATATTTATATACAAACAAGTGCTTGTATAACATTTACACAAACTAATATATGAAAAAGGATATTTTTGTAACAAAAAAATATTAAGCAAATAAATTTAATGAGCAACTGAATTGTTAACAAACACACATATTGTATATATATATATATCTTATTCTTATATTGCACATTCATAAATTGACTCTCGGAAGTCACGTGCATGCAATGATAATCGATTGGTATGTGTTTTCTTCTGACATTGCATACACGTATGTATGTACATATATTGAAAAAAAAAAACTTATGGTCGTTGGCATTTTGATGGGTGTACAAACTAATTAGCTAATAAATATCAAAAATATTATAAAATAAAAAAATATGGAATAGGGATGAGAAGGATTTGTGTATCAAGTAAAAATATAAAAAAAGGGGTAAAAAATTATTTTTTATTATTCTTTAATATTATTTTTTTTTTTATTAAAACGACGATGTCTCAGTTATTTAAATTCATATTTTTATTATTTTGTTATTTTATTATAAAATTATAATTATTAAGTTATTTATGGAAAATGTGAATATTTTCTTTTTTTAACAAAATCAGGTGGCATAATTGCAGGTTTCGAGTTTAGTTAAAAATATATAATGTTGGACAAATTATTATGAATAAAAGGTGAGGTTAAAAAATTAGACTTTCTTGGCTCTATTGCACTAATCGTGCTAAATTCGCTAATCGTAAAAATAAAAGTACTGTACCTAAACGTACAGAATATTGTCTAGGTTAAAAAACAAGATCAGCGAGATGCAGATATTGAATTTAAATTCATAGTAAATATTAGAATTATTGTTTTTGGAAAAATAAAATTTTTGAAAAATTATTTTTAATTTTAACTTCTTAAACTTTTAAAAAGCATTCCCGTGACATTTGAAAAAATATTTTTTTGTTTGAAACAAAAATTTGAACTACAAATTTAAAAAATTATTTTTAAATTTAGCTTCTTAAACTTTTAAAAAGCATTCCCGTGACATTTTGTCCTAAAACTATGCAATGTCATAACATTTTTTAATTTCATAATTAAATAAAAAGGTTTTGAACATTGCTAAATATTTCTTGCTATTAAAAATATAGGAATTTTTTAAATATCGTATTCACAATCACGTAAATGCTTCATTTTCGCATAGTGTGTCTAAGACAAAGTTATTTATCTAGGAATTCGTAGGAAATTTATAAAATTTAGTAAATGATAGAATCTCTTTATAATAGATAATTTTCATTTGTTTAGCCATCTTGCGAAAATTTTTGAAGTACTTGTGATAATAACCTTTTATTATAATTTAGTTTGAAAATTCAACAAAAAAAAAGTTTCGTAAATAAAATCTTATGTGTCTATTTTATAAATTAGTTTTTTTTACACAAATCTTTGCGATAATACAATAATTTCCGGCGAAATCGAAACACACAAATCACTGCTATAATAATTTTCGGCGAAATCGAAATATCTAATTTTAGTGTCGTTAATTTTTATAACTTTTCATAATTACTTAATTTTTTTCTATATTTCAAATAAATCCATATGTATGTCAATATTCTAAATGTCAATATATTAATATGATATGCTTAAATAATCTATAAGTTGATATAATTTTTCGTTTAATATTGTTTCACTTAATTAGTTTACATAATAAGTTTAAAAAAAAAAAAAAAATTTTATAAAAATATTACAATCTAACAATTTAAGTATTGAATTCAAAATGATATGCAAAATTTATATGTTTCTCTATTTTTATTTTCATTCGAATGCATTCTAATATCGTTTTTAGAATATCGTATTTGTTTGCATATCGTGTTTCGATTCGTCATCGTATTTTGTGTTCGTGTACCTTACCAATTTTGTAAATCGAAAATTTTACACAGAGTTTATAAAATGTATGTATGCATGTACATTGAAATATTTAAGTAAAAATTTGTAACAAATATGAAAAAAATTAAACAATACCTCAACATAGACTGATAAAATATAAAAATTAGTAATATTATGTTTAAATTTCTTTATAGAAACAAATTCAGAATCAAACATGAATTTATATAAATTTTATTAATATAAAATTTCAAAAATATCAAGAATGACATGTCTAACAAAATGACAGATTCATTGTATTCAAATTGTGAATTTATTTTAAATTTTTATTGAACCACGTGAAAAGTCATATGTGATGCTAAATCAATATAAATTTTTAACCTCTATCGGACAATAGAAAAAACAAAATTTCGCCGCTAATGTAAATTTTTAAATGCCAAAATCGTGACATTTAATTAATAATCTATCCTTTTTTAACATTAAAACGAAAATATTGAGAAAAAGAGAAAAATATATAATTTAAAAAGAAAAAATGAAAAAAATTTATTTTCGCTATGAAATTTGATTGTCAAAGTTTTTTTTTTTTTTTTTTTTGAAAATGTTCAGGAGAATGGCAGAAAAGAAACATTCGAATTAGTGAGAGAGAAGACCGCTCCCCCAGTTTTTTTTTATTATTTCCTTTTTTTAAAATAAATTTAAATACAGTTTTTATCGCTATTTGCTAAGTTTAAGTTACATTTTATAAAAAATAACTAAGCAATATTTAAAATAATAAAAATTAAAAAAGAAAATTTTAAGATTTAAAATAAAAAAAAAGTGATTTTAAAAAAATGTAAAATGCCCAGAATAAAATTTTTTTTTGTTTTATTGTTGTGTAACTCGCTAATATAGCGAATGTGGAAAATTATTGTAGAAGTGTCAAGAGGAGTAATAAAAAAATAAAAAAAAAAAGAAAAATTTCATAAAGAGCATTTCAAAAAAAAAAAAATTTTTTAATTTTAACAATTCTTTTTTACAATAAAGAATAATGTGAAATTTTATATTAAATTTTTATATTTTTTTCATAATGTCTCCATTTAATTAATTTAAAAAATTTTGTGAAAATTTTTCAAAAAAATATAAATAAAATTTTTTTTTAATAAAAAAGAAGAAGAAAGAAAGAAAGAAAAAAAATGAAATCTTTAAAGATCGCTTACATTTAGTAGTGAAGGATTTTAAAGATTTACGAAGAAGTTTTTCAATATAAAAATTAGTGGAGACCAAAATTGAAAATTAAATTGTAAGGAAAAGTAATTTTATAGCCATAAAATATAGAATTACTAATCTACAACATATCAAAAACGGAGGAAAAAGTGAAATTATTTTAGAATTAAATGAAAAAATTTTGAAATTTGATTAAGATACGCTTTAGCGTTTTCTTGGCCGACACAAATAAAAACGCCAATTAGAAAACAAAAAAAAAAAAACAAGTAATTTGATATTTTTACTTTCTTTCATAACAAAAATAATTTAAGCAATTAATTTATATACCTACATAGAATATAATTTAAAAAAAAAATAACAATAAATAACCGTTGAAATATATTTTAATTAAAATAGAAACAAAACGAGAAACAGAAAAAAAAAAAATGTCTTCATTTGATACGCGTAATAATTCGGCGTTAATGAAACGCGCTGAACAATTAAAACGTTGGGAAGAATCCGATACAAATCGTGAACCAACAAAACCAAAAAATTCAAAAGGTAGACGAATTAAATTTCCATCTGGTTGTGTTTTTTTAGCTGCATGCGTTGCCGGTGACAAAGATGAAGTTATACAATTATTAGATTCTGGAGCTGATATAAATACAACAAATATTGATGGATTAACAGCATTACATCAAGTAAATTTTTCTTATAAATTTTGAAATTTACATTATAAATATACATTATATTTTAAATAATTAATCTTATCATCAATACTATTTTATTATACTATTTTATTATACTATTTTATTTTTTTTTTAGTTTAAAATTCAAATTCTTATTAATTGAAGATGATCTTAATGAAATAATCCGCTAGATATTAAAGGAAAAAAGTGTATTATTAAAAACCAAATCCTGTAGCTACTCTTTGAATATGCACGTATATAACCTAATGCTTAATGCAATCTGTATTCAACAAGTTTTTAAACTATGAAACCAAAATTTTTTCTGAAATTTTAGAAAATATATGAAGATAACATATTGTGTACCTATACCTATCATGATCATATTATGATAATGATAACAATTTATTTTAATATGAATTTTATATTTTGTTGTCAACTTGAAATGCAATTTAAATGAGTCTAAAATTGCGTCATTTAAAATTTTTAAAATCTTAACACTGAGTAGTAAAATTTAATATTCCAAAGTTATTACAAGATAACTTAAAGATGGTGTGTATTAGAACACCGGAATCCATTCTAGAAATATGATAAGAATTTGTTAGAATAAAAGTTTTAATTTGTTGTTTATTTAATATCGTAGAACCTATTGCTAATAGATAAAATTAATATTTAAAAAATAAACACACATACCTACATAAGTTAAAATTTTATTTTTTGCATATTCTGTAAGAACAATATCAATGGGAAACGATTTCCTTAAAATAAATAACAATTCACAAAAAATAATATTAAAATGGAATACACATGTTAAAGAAATAAATTAGAATAGCTAGCTGATTATAATTTTAATTACGAAATATTCAAAAAAATGTTTTCTGTTGTTTACGATATTTTTTTTTTTCTCAATTCTAGCAAAATTCTAATGAGCCTGCTTTATATTAATTGTAAATCTATACAATATTTTATACATTCATATTTATTTACACACATTAGATAATGTTATATAAGTATATAAATTTTATATTTTGTATATACACATGAAATATGTATATATACATGACGTATCTATGTAATAAAGATAAAAATGCATGTTTCTATGTACCGAAATTACAGAAAAGATCAAGCAGAAAATTTTATTTTTAGAATTTTTTTTTTCAATTTTTCGTTTCTTTTGTTTTTCGTTTACTTTTTCATTTAATAGGCAGCAGCAAGGCGAGAAAATAAAAGCATAATAAAATAGAAAAAATTAAAAAGATGATTTTTTGTTATACAAACACAAGTATAATAGTCTTATAAAATTTATTTTTCTCTAAAAATTTTTTTTTTATTTTATAAAAAAGTTTGTTGTTTTTTTAACTTTGCTATTATAAGAATTTTAGAATTGAATGGATTTCATATTTTTAATTTTTTAAATTTCAAGTTGTTTCTACCTATTTAATAAAAAAATATTCATTCATTTTTTCTTCAAAGATTATTTCGATTTTTTATAGATATTTAAAGTAAATCGCATGTTTAGGAGTAAAACTGTCTTATGTCCATTTCTGTTTCAAAAAAATTTTTTTAAACAACATTCTATAGCGTGTTGAATGCGAGATTGTTATCATTTTGATGCACTCGCTGATCCACTATTATCTAGTTTGAATTAAAAATCATTTACGCGCAATAGTCCTATGTCTACGTATATTTTATTTATGTGAACACAGGATTGTCAATACAATTGATTTTTCATCTATTAAAAAATTTTTAATAAATAAAAATTTTGATCTTTAATTTCCTCTCCTGAACAATTTACAAATTATGACTTAGAATTGTTCTGCTCTAGATAGGCGAAATGATTCTTCTGAAAAGCTATTAAGTACAATGCTTTTTTTTAGTGGAAGAAATTCGATTATGATCAAAAGAACATGCAGCTGTATTAAAAGCAAAAAAAAAACATTTGATTACATTTTAAAAATTAAGTAGATATTTTGAATTCTAATAATAAATTGTAATTTAAAACAAATCGTATGAATAATTAAAATGATACGATAAATTTTGCTCTAAACTAATTGTAAAAAAAAATTAATATAAAAATTTTACATGACTATTTCGGAAAAATATCAACATTTTCAATAAACATTTTTAATTTTCTAATTAATCATAATTTGATTTGCAAGAATCCTAAAAAAAAAAATTCGAAGGTTTTTCAATTAGTCAACAAATAAAATATTTGCTTTGGTCAAAAATATTATTTTGGTCAAGTACAAATTTCACCCTTCATCAAATTATTCAAGTGGTGCTTACTAGGAAGTGATTAGTGGAGGGGGAGTAGGTGTGGGGGTATATTAAAATTAAAGATGTTGAACTATTAAAATAACAGAAATATTTCTATTTAATTATTTTTATACTAGGTACTTATTATATTGGTTTTATATACTATTTATCATAATAAAAAAAAAACATATTTAATTGTTGTTTAATTTATTACTCATAATAATATTATAGGATTTATAAATATCTTTTAAAATATTTTCATTTCATCAAATTTTATTCAAAATTTTTTTCGGTTTCTTATAAAAAAAAATTTTATTACCCTATAGAGGTCAATAAAACAATTTAATTTTTAGATAAATATTTGATTTAGTGAAGGAATTTTTGCAACAAAATTATAAAATAAATATAAGTAATTGGAATATTTAGAAAAATTATTGAATAGATTATGTGGTTGAATTCTAGTTTGCATTTTGACTGCAAATTAATTATCTTGTTTGTTAAAGCTGCAATATAAAATAATTACAAAAGTAGCGCACTGGCAACAAAAATTCCTGGTGCCAAAAAAAATAATGATATTCGCAGCTGCTAACTTTTACTTTTTAAGCATTACTTGCGTTTGCACTTCTGACTGCAAATGATCTTGTTTGTTAAAACTGTACTATAAAAGAATTACAAAAGCAGCGCACTGGCAACAAAAATTCCTGGTGCCAAAAAATTTAATGACATTGGCAGCAGCTAACGCTCACTTCTTATTACCTACTTATCAATAATTAAGGTTATAATATGAAAGCAGAAAAAAATAAATGAACATTTATATTAAATTGTTATAAGAACGGCGTTATTAAACTTGTGAGTTCTTCGATGATAATTCTGTAAGCGAAATAAATTATTATGGACGTACTTCGTTCCACTTCGCAAAATTTTATAACCAATTTTTATTATACAAAAGCAAAGAAAAAAAAATTGCTATTAAAAATTGTTTAAAAAATTTATTTGGCAAAAACAAGATATTAAAAAGACAATAAAAGAAATTCATACTGTAATGGTGCAATGCTGTAAAAATTAATTTTTATTGCCACCTATGATGAGCAATTAAAAACAATATGAAAACTCTTTTTTTTTTAAAACTTCTTAATCATTTTTTAAAACTTTTATTTTTTTTTAAGATTTGTTTTAAAATTTTTAAATCTAGAAATTTTTAGTTGAAAATCCATGTGACGTTTGCTTACGAACTGGAGTCCAATTTTCATATACACAAATCTATCATGCACCAATTGAAATATGATTTACAAACTGTGTCAAATAATATTTTACGTTTTTAATTATTTAATTGGAACGCATCCCCCATATACTTAAATAAATAGTATTTGAAATAGATAAATATTAAGTTTTAAGGTAAAAGTTTCAAATTACGATAAGAATAATTTCCGGTCAAACAATTACTTTACTTACTACTTTAAGAAATATTATAGGGGTACTTAATATGTTCATGACGTATGTACTGTTATTTTTACAGCAATAAATACATATTTATGTATATTATTTTATAGATTATTATTTATATATTTAGGTAGATAAGAAAATGCTTAAGTTTATAAGTAAAAATAATTTCGACCTAGAACAAGATTCTAAAAATAATTTTTTAATGTTAAAACAAATTTTGTACTAAAACTATATGAGCATTAGTGTGTACATATGCGTTGTTAATTTAAAAATATTGGCATACACATACACACAAATTCATTATAATTATGTAGATCAACTTAAGTATAAATTTGATTTATTACTCTTTGCCTTTTTATAAAACGTTCTAAATTCTACAACATTAAAAACATAAAAATATTATTTTTTTTTTTTTATTTTCTTAAATTTTTTCATTTTTATAAAATTACAAATTAAAATTTTTATAAAGGAAAACGTTTAAAAATTAAAATTTTCTGGCAACAATTTAAAAATAAAAATATTTAAAATAATTAAGTTTACATACACTTATACCTTAATTTACGTCAATTAATTTCAGTTTTCTATTTTTGTGTATTCATTTTTGAAAATATAGACTTCGTTATCAATTTAAATGAAAAGAAAAATAATTTAAATTAAAAAAGTAAAACTTTTAATTTAGAGCTCTGAATCTCTAACAGGTGATATAGTTATTAATTAGTATTACCGTTGTATGTAGAAACCAAATGTAAATAACTATATTGTACTGCAAAAATTATTGGATTTTTACATATACAAAAATTTACTAGGTCAATCTTGGCCTAGCGGCGAAAACAACGAGCGAATTCACGGTTTTAAAATTTCCGTGTTGTCGTTCTGGCATCCCGAAATTGAATGGCGTAGCAATATGATTCGGTTTGAATATAAAATAAAACAAAAGAAAAATAATTTTTAGTTCCAATGAGAGAGCGTTTGAAAATAAAGTTCGAATTTGTTGTCGTCACATTAATTAATATGATGTTATAAACGTATTTTTTTGAGCCAACACTTAAGTAAGAACGGAAATTTTCACATCTGTTTGTTTTTTTTTTATCTCATTATTCTTTCAATAATTTTGGCTTTAAAATATGATGTTCTTGTTTTTTTTTTCCATTAAGTTTTAGAAATGATTGAATAATAAACTTGACCTCATCTTAGCTTAAATTTTTTTTTTTTTAATTTCAAATAATTAGAACTTGATATTTTTATTCTATATTTAGCTAATTTCCTGCAATATAAGATCAAAAACAGAAGTTTTCACTTATTTTTGTATAATTAAA